CCTGGCTATTTTTTTTTTTTTTTTGGTTGCAGCCATTGTTGTTTGGTGGGCCTGGGCTGGATTTGAACCCGCCAGCTCAGATGTATGTGGCTGGCACCTTAGCTGCTTGAGCCACAGGTGCAGAGCCTGCCCAACTATTTTTTATTGCAGTTGTCGTTGTTTAGCAGGCCCGGGCTGGATTTGAACCCACAAGCCTTGGTGTATGTGGCTGGTGCTATAACCACTGTGCTCTGGGCACCGAACCTGAATATTTTAGTTCTTAATTCATTTCAAACCAGTATATAAGAGGTACTTAGGATGAAGTCATCAATTTCTTAAGCATTGGTATTATAGTTAGGGAGATCATGTATCTAGTTCAAAGCCTCTTATAGATCAATTAATGCTCAGCGCGCTCTCTCTCTCTCTCTCTCTCTCTCTCTATATATATATATATATATATATTTATTTATTTATTTTTGAGACAGAGTCTTATTCTCTCACCCTCGGTAGAGTGTCATAGCATCATAGCTCCCAGCAACCTCAGACTTTTGAGCTCAAGAGATCCTCTTGCCTTAGCCTCCCAAGTAGCTGGGACTACAGGTGCCCACCACAGCACCAGGCTAGTTTTTCTATTTTTAATTGAGATGCGGTTTCACTCTTGCTTAGGCTGGTCTCAAACTCCTGAGCTCAAGCAATCCACCTGCCTCAGCCTCCCAGAACACTAGGATTATAGATATGAGCCACCTCACCCAACTAATGCCCAGCTAAACTTGGTTTATGCCAATAAACTTGGTTTGGACAGTAAATATAATGGTCCACCCTAGTTATACTGTTAACATAAATTCCCAACTGGGTTTATCTTGCCTGTTAGATATTTTAACATTAGCAAGTAGAATATTTTAGTTACAAGGGAAGGATCTATTAGAGTAGTTTAAATATTAAAGAGAGTAGTTAATTTTTTGCTGTGAGGAGGTAGGGACATTTCGGATTAATGTGGATAGAGAGCTTAATTCTTACAAAAAGAGTAATGACCTTTCTGTTTAGAAACCAGAGAAGAAAGAGAGGTTGAATGAAAAAATTTTAGGCACAGAAGAAGAAAACTATCCTACTTTTTTATTTTTTTTTTTTTTGAGACAGAGCCTCAAGCTACCATCTGGGATAGAGTGCTGTAGTGTCACAGTTCACAGCAACCTTGAACTCCTGGGCTTAAGCGATTGTCTTGCCTCAGCCTCCCAAGTACCTGGGACTATAGGCACCTGCCACGACACCTGGCTAGTTTTTGGTTGTGGTTGTCATTGTTGTTTAGCAGGCCTGGGCTGGATTTGAACCTGCCAGCTCTGGTGTACGTGGCTGTCACCTTAGCTGCTTGAGCTACAGGTCCCAAGCCCTATCCTACTTTTTTAATAATGTAGAGATCTGGCTCAGGACCTGTAGCTCAGCGGTTAGGGCGCCAGCCACATACACCAAAGCTGGCTGGTTTGAGCAGGCCCAGGCCTACTCAACAGCAATGACAATAAAAAAGAAATATATCCGGGCATTGTGATAGGTGCCTATAGTCCCAGCTACTTATAGTCCCAGCTACTTATGAGACTGAGGCAAGAGAATTGCTTGGCCCCAAGAGTTGGAGGTTGCTGTGAGCTGTTGTGACACCATGGTACTCTACCAAGGGCAACATAGTGAGACTGTCTCAAAAAAAAAAAATATGTAGGGATTAAGGTTATCTATTAGGCATATAGTTATCAGTAGTGGGGTGGGATCCTGAAATAAGACATTTAACAAAATATTGTAGGGTAACTACCAAATTGACGAAATATTTATTGAACACCTGCAATTTGGTATTTTTCTTGTTCACTTCAGTGATTTATTCCAGAACACTCATCTATAAAGTCAGGCAAATTATAATGTGATATGAAAATAATTAAGATAAGGGAGTTGATGGAGTAACTGGTTTGCTAATTTTGAAGAGGTGACATTAAGGTAAGGTATGGAAGACAAGAATCTATCCACTTGCAGATGGAGCTAAATGAAAACCTTAAGGTGGAAATGAGCTGGTTATGTTAGAAGAATAGAAAGAACTCCAGTGAGTCAGCAATAGGGTGGATGAAAACCATAGTGTTGGGTGGCGCCTGTGGCTCAGTAAGTAGGGCACTGGCCCCATATACTGAGGGTGGCAGGTTCGAACCTGGCCCTGGCCAAAATGCAATAAAAAATAGGCGGGCATTATGGTGGGTACCTGTAGTCCCAGCTACTTGGGAGGCTGAGGCAAAAGAATCGCCTAAGCACAAGAACTGGAGGTTGCTGTGAGCTGTGACACTATGGCACTCTACTGAGGGTGACAAAGTGAGACTCTGTCTCTAAAAAAAAAAAAGAAGAAAAGCATAGCCCAAGAATTAGAGGTTGCTGTGAGCCATGATGCCATAACACTCTACCAAGGAAAACAAAATGATACTCTGTCTCAAAAAAAAGAAGATGGATTATAGGTACAAAGTGGAAACAGGAAGGTCATTTAAGAGAATTTTGCAATTGACCAAGCCAGAGATGATGGTGGGATAACTTAATGTGATTACAGAATAGAAGGGATTTCTGAGCAATAGTGAAGCCCCAGTTTGAGATGCGCTAGCATGACATGGCAGACAGTGTGGATTTAGCTATGTAGCATAACGTTTTATGTGGAAATGAGAAATTTGACATTTTCTGTGGAATGCAGGCTTGATCAAGGGGATACACTGAGGGACTGGAGGCCATGGTTTATTTAGTGCATTTTTTTGCTTTAGAGACAAGGCACACTTTGTCAGTGACATGATCAGAGCTCACTGCAACTTCAAACTCCTGGGCTGAAGTGATCCTCTTGCCTCAGCCTCCTGCGTAGCTGGGACTACAGGTGTGCACCACCACTTCTGGCTAATTTTTCTGTTTTTTGTAGAGGTAGGAGCTCCTGATGTCAAGAGTCCTTTTACCTTGGCTTTCCAAAGTGCTAGGATTATAAGTGTGAGCCATTGTACTGTGGCAGTTTTCAGTACATAAACAGAGGTCCTTTTCTCATGGAGTTACTATTCTAATGGGTGTGGGGAAGAGAAATATAAAAGTTGTCTCTTGTTCTCTGTGGGGGATTGATTCCAAGACCCCTCAGGATAGCAAAATCCAGGATGTTAAAGTCCCTGATATAAGATGTCATAGTATTTGCATATAATCTGTGCATATAGTCTCATATACTTTGAATCATCTCTAGATTATCTATAATACTTAAAACAATGTAAATCGTTATTGTATTGTTTAGAGAATAATGACAAGAAAAAAGTTAGTAGATGTTTAGTATAGATTGAACCACCCCCCAATTTTTTTGATTCATAATTGGGTGGATCCATGGATCTGGAACCTGCAGATGTAAAGGGCTGACTGTATGTATATTGGGTGGTGGTGAGTGCTATTTGTAAGGTTTGCACCTTGTTTACAGTTGTTACTAAGAGATGGAAATATATTCGAGAAAGGTAGACATTGATGGTAAGGGCAGATTTATTATTTTATAAGGCGTGGTTAAAAAAGCTCTCTCTAATTAGGTGACATTTGAGTTCTAAATGAGGTAAGGGAGTAGGCTTTGTGGATGGGAGGTAGTGGAACATTCTAGACCAGTAGTTCTCAACCTGTGGGTCGCGACCCACAGGAACTGTATTAAAGGGTCGTGGCATTAGGAAGGTTGAGAACCACTGTTCTAGACTGAAGGAACTTAAATATAAGGTCTCTGAGGCCTGACTGTGCTTATTGTGTTCTAAGAGCAGTAAGAGGGCCACTGTGGCTGGAATGGAGTGAGGGAGGTGGTAGTCAGAGATGACATCAACATTGTGAAGGTGGTAGAGGGTGGAATCAAGTTGTAGATCCAAGTCAGGCCTTTGGGTTTTCTTCTGTGTGGTGATGGGGATGAAGATCAGGAATGAGGATATAGAGGGAGTAAAAGGCAAGGTTATAGCTGAGAGGTACAACTTGGGGCTAAAGAAGTATGAGGCTGGGTTTTTGACGTTTCTGAGGTGATAAGAGAAGAGAGTATAAATAAAACAGGTTTTTTTTTTTTTAATAATATTAAGCTGTCACCCTGGGTAGAGTCCTGTGATGTCATAGCTCACAGCAATCTCAAACTTATGGGCTTAAGCAATCCTC